CGAGGTCGAGTACGAACCTCGATGCTTCCGTTAAAGGTCGAGTTCGAACCTTAATTAAATAATCTATCTCAAACCTGAGGTCGAGTACGAACCTTGACGCTCTCGTTAAAGGTCGAGTTCGAACCTTAATTAAATAGCATATCTCAAATTTGAGGTCGAGTCCGAACCTCGACATTTCCGAGGTCGAGTACGAACCCCGACGCTTTCTTTAAAGGTCGATTCAGAACCTTAATCAAATCACTTCACTCGAATTCGAGGTCGAATACGAAACTCGACGCTTCCGTTAATGGTCGAGTCTGAACCTTAATTGAACCAACTCACAAATTCCAAGGTCGAATACGAACCTCGGCGCTCTTGTCAAGGGTCGAGTTCGAACCTTAATAACTTATTCGGAGGTCGAGTCCGAACCACATATCCGAGATCGAGTTCGAACCTCGATGAAACACGCACCACCCTAAATCTAAGGTCGAGTCCGAACCTCGACACTGTCGTTAAAAGTCGAGTACGAGCCGTATACCTAAGGTCGAGTTCGAACCGTGACGAAGCATACATGACCCTAAACTTAAGGGCGGATGCGAACCACCTATCCAATTCACTACACTCTGGTTTGAGGTCGGTTGAGAACCTCGGAGCTAACAAATCAAGGTCATCGAACCTTCACAGAAACGCTCACCCAAACAGAAGTCCGAGGTCGAGCCCAAACTTCCCTTAGCATATGAGGTCGAGTACGAACCACAGCATCCGGATCTGAGGTCGAATACGAACCTCGCCAAAAATTCATTTTATTCAAAACCGAGGTCGAGTATGAACCTCGATGTCCCCGCTTAAAAGTCGAGTTCGAACCTTAGCTCCCCCATTTTGCTCAAACCTAAGATCAAACCCGAACCCCACCAAAGCCTAAGGTCGGATACGAACCTCGGCACTTTCAAGGTCAAACCCGAACCTTAATAAAATCGGTCAAATCCGAACCACAATAAAATCAGTTGCTCAAAATCGAAGTGTAAGGGCGAATACGAGCCTCGACACTCCCGATAAAGGTCGAGTCCGAACCTAACCAAATCGTCTAATTCAAATCCGAGGTCGAATACGAGCCTCAACACATTTACTTGAGGTTGAGTCCAAACCACTAACCTGAGGACGTTTTTGAACCCTGGCAAAGCACACCCCACTCTCAATACCAGGGTCGAATTCAAACCCCAGCACGACCGAATTAAGGTCGAATTCTGACCTTGACTCCAGTCTAGGGTCATTTATGAACTTTCACAACAATTACTTAGTCAAAATTCGAGGTCGAATACGAATCTTAACACATTCATTTACGGCCGAGTTCGAACTCCCACGAAAAATCCTACTAAACAAAAAACTAAGGCCGACCTCGAACCTCGACTTCACCGACTCAAGGTAGAAGTATCACCATATACAAAAGCGTATAACAGACACCAAACATGTGCCTCAAACAGCGCGAACAGCCAAAATTGAACGCAAATACGGACAAGATAGAACAAAATATATATATATATACAAACAAAGTTCTCAAAATTCAATACATCAATTCAAGCCAAAGAAAAATAAATCAAGCTATCACAAAGGCGGCCTAGGCTGAAGCACCCCCGCTAGAACTGTCGTCGGCATCGTCCTCCTTGACTAGCCTCCCAAAGCGGACGAATTTCTCCACGTGCATGGAAGAAAAGTCGAATCTGGGAGCAAGAAGCCGAGCCTAACGAGCAGCCTTTTGGAAGCCTCTCTTGTGCTCGACCACAACGGAGCGTTCGACCTCCGCGAGCCTCTTGTCCGTGGCCGCCTTCCCCATCGCTAGCTCCGCAAGCTCTGCCGTCAAGGTGGTAATTTCGTCCTCACGGCCACCAAGAATGACCTCGCTACGGAGGCGCTCCTCAGCCGCCGCCGCCAACTCTCCCTTAAGGGAGGTTACAACGTCCTCCAGAGCCTGCACTTGGCCACGAGAAGAGGTCACTTCATCCTCCAAGGAGCGAGCACGGCTTCGAGAGAAGGCGACGAGCTCCTGCAGCTCCCCCACCTGAGAGGCATAAGCCTCATTTGATCGCAACGCAATCTCAAGAGACTTCTGCACCCGTGCAAGGTCGCCACGAGCAGAGCGGAGCTCAGCCTCGTGCCGCTTCGCCTCACCAAGGGCTGCGCTAAGAGCTTTATTCTCTTCCCTCAGGATCTTGCTTGCCTCCTTCCAGGGTTGAAGTCAGCCCCTCAACTTGGCCAGGTCCTCCTGCTGCTTGGCCAAATCCTCCCGCTGTTGGCCCCACTGAGACTTCCAATGGCCCATTATGCCCATAACCCTCTGCAGAAGGACTTGGGCCGCATCAAAACTCTCTTCGGGACCGGCCCCGTCTATCAACCCCTGGTCCTCGGAGCTCAACGAACCCTGAGGGTAGAACTTCTCCCCGGTCACCCCCGCGCTCCACAGCAAATTCATGTCGGCGGAGGTGCTCACGTGGTCCAGCCGCACTTGGGGAAGACCCTTCCCGAAACGGTGAGCCAGATATCGGCCCTGGGAAGCCTCCTACGACGGGCCAAGAGGCGGCGCTGAAGCGGCAGCCGCAGACGGAGGAACCTCATGACTAGGACCTCCTCCACGGGCCTCAACAGAGATAGAAGCCGGCGTCCCCTGCTCGGCATCCAGAAAGTCCACAATGGGGACCCCCGACCTTGCCTGCAAAAATCAACCCCATGTCAAAAATAAACAAGGTGACATACGGGGAACCACAAAATCAAGTAAACAAACACTACCTACCTCAGCAGCTTGGGCGACCCACTCGGCAGCCTGTGTCGCCGCCTCAGGGGCATTTCCCGCCTGCAAAAAATGACCCCAGGTTAAGCGACCAGAAAGCATAATAAAAGGATTAACGAAAAACCCAAGAAACAAGATACACACCACCTCGGCAACACGAGCAACTTGCTCAGCAGCCTGGTCTCACACCTCGGCAACGGTCGCCCCGACTTGCGAAAAGATACACTCTGCCTCAATAAACCAAACAAAGTCAGCAGAAAAGACGTGTATAAAGAGATAGGACACTCACCTCGGCGACCTGCACAGTAGGCTCAGCAATCTGAGCCATCCCCTCAGAGGCCACCTAGGGCGGTGGACTCTCGGTGAGATCCACCGCATCAGCATCGGCGGCCTTGGAGGCCACCTCCTCGGCGTCTGTAGAGGCGGAAGTCCCCCCAACCTCCCTCGCTCCCCTCTTCCTTTTTTGGCTAGCCTGTAGAGGGGGAACATCCTCCTCTTGGGGCTCGGGGACCTCGAGTTTTTTTTACATTTTACATCGGACCCTACCAAATCCGACGTAAAAAAAGTAGCGAAAGCGAATAAAAAGAGTGCATGGGAGGCACATACACGCACGCACTCACTCGAATCTCACCACTTTTCTAGATTTTTCTCTGTATAAACACTCTCCCTCTCCTTTGTTGCTAAATCATTTTTTCTGTCTTCTACAGAGTGGGGTGAACTCTTCGTTACTCGTTCGCACACTATTGCAGCTCAGGTATGAATCGTTAACACCTTTTTGTTTCGCATTGCTATTGTGGCTATTTTTTCTATTCGATCTTTATGTTGTTCTATTTGTTTGGGTTGTTGGCCTTTTCTTCTGGGTTGTTCTATCAAGAAGAACGACTTGTTCTTCAAGCAGAACGACCCGTTCTGCTTGCACTCGTTATATATTTTTTTTATTTACAACTTTTTTACGTCAGATCTTAGCAATGTCCGATGTAAATTTACGTCGAATTTCATAACCGACGGAAATTTACATCCCTTGCTTTAACATGAAACTTTTTTTTTTACGTGAAAATCTTAAAATAATTGACATAAATTACCTTTTTTGTACTAGAGTGTACTATTATATGATAATTTTTTTTATAATGTATATTAAAGTATTTCAATTAAGATTTTTTTTATAAAAATTATGTGGATTGAAGGTGGATAAACTTATTAATTCATCATTTTTAACCCACTAATTCACCGAAATAAATCAACCCACCAATCAATCACTAATTAAGTGAAGTGAGTTAGTTTTTCAACCAATTTTCTTTAGTGAACTAACCATCCCGCCCACTTTAAATATGTTGATTCATATCATCCTTATGATTTATGATTTAGTAGTAAGTTCTATTAAAATATGTAATTTTTAATAAATTTTAATCAATAATACAAAAATTATTTTAAAAAATTTTGCTAACATTTCTCGGGAAGATAATTAAAGTTAGGAATTCCGTTAAAAACATTCATTGAGGGGAAAGGAAATAAGCTAAAAAAGAATACATTTTATATTGTTGTCAAACTAACAATACGTAGCAAATTATAACACTTTCTGAAACTCATTTTTTTTTTTTTTTAAGTAATGTTAGCAACACTATTTTTAACACTTTCTTTCTTGAGTATTTATTATTTCTAAAAAATTACTAAAAATCATAAATTTATGAGTTTTGCAATTCATTTAATAAATTTTTCTTTTAATTTAGTAAAAAAATTGTGATTTTTTATTAATAATAAAATATATTCAAAAAAGAGTGTTAAAAGAAAATGTAATCCACATTTTTTCTTATTACTTTGTCAACTACATCACCTGTTTTATCTCCTAACTTTTTCTCTTAGTTACCAATTCCTTACTCTTCCATCGATGAATACTGTAAAAAAGATTAGGCAAGAGTAACGTTATTCAAACTAATGTATTACTACACATGATATGAATATATGTATATATTACGCAAATAATAAAGACAACAACTAATAATCAAGATATAAGTATACAGATACAAAACATAGTAGTTATTGACTGGCTATCATTATCTACTCATAAAAACATGCATGAATAAGAATTATCAACTTCTGCAACGTAGGAGTTTTTTGTAATAAGAATTATCAACTTCTATGGAGCAAGACGCAAGAAATCAGAGGATCGTTCACCAGCAAGATTATTATCGAAAGCCACACCCGAACGCTGAACCTGTGATTTTTTCATGGATCTGTTCCAACCGTTATTCCTAACGAGACTCGGTGGCGTCAAAGGGAAACCCCACTGTACCTCACCACCAAACCTCTCATACTGCACACACCCTCTCCCACGTCCACTTCCCACGCTTCTCGTCCTATACCCCCGCGTGTCACTGCTCATTCTCGTAAAGCACACGCAACTCTTCGCACGCTTCAGCGTCGAGTTCATCATCTGGCTTCGTACCTCCTCGGGTAACCGTAGCGTAAACCTCTCATAGTTCTCCCCAGGCTGCACCAATTGACCCAACGAGTTCGACCGCGGAAACAAAAGCGAAGATAGAAACCCCGTTGATCTCGACAATGATGGACGGCTCTGATGCAACGAGCGAACCCTACGAAGCAAGTCCACCATTGGTGATTCCGCGTCACTCTCTCTCTTATGTTCTTCACTAATGTCATGTTCACTTTGATGTTCATGTTCGTGGTCACGTTCCTCATCATCGGGTATCTGAATGGACAACATCGGAGGCATGTTTATGTCTTCGGGTTGTGGAACGAGGTTGGCGCGACAAACCGGGCACGTGGAGTGGGAGGCTAACCAAACGTCGATGCAATCGGAGTGGTACACGTGGCAGCACTTGGGGATCATGCGGAGGGTTTCCTCGTCTTGGAACTCGTTCAAGCACACGGCGCATGCCAGCGTGTCGTTTCCGATTTTGAGACCCTTCACGTCGGAGTAGAGGAACGTGGGGAAGGTTTCTATGGTGGCTTGGTCGAGGCCGTTGGATTCGGCATTCGACGGGTTACCGCCTGCGCCGGTAGGAGCGGCGAGGTCGAGCCTGTTGCCACGTGTCTGCGATTGTCGCAAATTGTGACGGATTCTACTTAATTAAAGTCATCACAGTTTGTGACGGATTTAATCCCTCACAAATTGCGAGGGATTAAATCCCTCGCAAATTGTGACGGATTCTACTTAATTAAAGTCATCACAGTTTGTGACGGATTTAATCCCTCACAAATTGCGAGGGATTTAATCCCTCACAAATTGCGACGGATTTTTATTAATTTCTAAACATTTATTATTAGAAATTAGTGACGGAATTTATACTGTTTGTGATGCCTTAATTCCGTCACTAATTGTGACGGAAAAAATAATCCGTCACTAAATATTTTGTGACGCCAAATTTTGTGACGGAATCATTTCCGTCACAAATTCCGTCACTAATTGATTTGTGACGGATTTGTTCCCTCTCTAATTTTAATTTTTCTAGTAGTGTTTATCTCAGGCCCAGAGCCCAAAGCAACCCTAATTCACTCCAAGGTACGTGCATTACATATACGAGACTATTACTCATACAAACCCTAACTTCAGCATCGGAGTCTCTTTTGCAGGTACCACCGCCATCTTGGAGCATCAGTGTACTAGTGAAGGAGGCTCACCAATCTTACTTGGAAGATCGTCCCTACGACAAATTCCGGTAAGAACAACACATATAAAAAGTATCACTATAGATACAATATTTTTTTATATAATTTATTTGACATATATCTATACACAATTTTAGTTTTGATTTTAAATGAGATTTAACAACATATATTATGTGGCACTATAGTTTATATCTACACATTTTAACAATATATTAACATATATTGTATCTATAGAGTAGTTAAAAGTAATTTTTAGTAACAAGTATTGTTTCACTATAGGATGTCATTAGTGGAAAATGAGGCTTTTACGTCACCTCTTTCTTATCAGACTTAACAAAAATCGACGTAAAAAAGATGTGGTGACACAACATAGTAGGGTCCGACGTAAAATGTAAAATCTACGTCGAACACAACATACAACCGATGTAAATTTTACATTTTACATCGGACCCTACCAAATCCGACGTAAAAAAAGTAGCGAAAGCGAATAAAAAGAGTGCATGGGAGGCACATACACGCACGCACTCACTCGAATCTCACCACTTTTCTAGATTTTTCTCTGTATAAACACTCTCCCTCTCCTTTGTTGCTAAATCATTTTTTCTGTCTTCTACAGAGTGGGGTGAACTCTTCGTTACTCGTTCGCACACTATTGCAGCTCAGGTATGAATCGTTAACACCTTTTTGTCATCCTCCAAGTCCTCAATCCCGTCTTTAACCCCAACCACATTCTCTTCCTCGTCGCTCTCCGCGCCAAGCTCGTCAGAAAATCCCTCTTATGGAACTCGTGGTGCATGCTCGCTTCCGAGGCCAAGATCGAGGCCATGATGGGGTTTTCCGGCAACAAAGAAAATCTCACTCAATGCCAATCGTTAACACCTTTTTGTTTCGCATTGCTATTGTGGCTATTTTTTCTATTCGATCTTTATGTTGTTCTATTTGTTTGGGTTGTTGGCCTTTTCTTCTGGGTTGTTCTATCAAGAAGAACGACTTGTTCTTCAAGCAGAACGACCCGTTCTGCTTGCACTCGTTATATATTTTTTTTATTTACAACTTTTTTACGTCAGATCTTAGCAATGTCCGATGTAAATTTACGTCGAATTTCATAACCGACGGAAATTTACATCCCTTGCTTTAACATGAAACTTTTTTTTTTACGTGAAAATCTTAAAATAATTGACATAAATTACCTTTTTTGTACTAGAGTGTACTATTATATGATAATTTTTTTTATAATGTATATTAAAGTATTTCAATTAAGATTTTTTTTATAAAAATTATGTGGATTGAAGGTGGATAAACTTATTAATTCATCATTTTTAACCCACTAATTCACCGAAATAAATCAACCCACCAATCAATCACTAATTAAGTGAAGTGAGTTAGTTTTTCAACCAATTTTCTTTAGTGAACTAACCATCCCGCCCACTTTAAATATGTTGATTCATATCATCCTTATGATTTATGATTTAGTAGTAAGTTCTATTAAAATATGTAATTTTTAATAAATTTTAATCAATAATACAAAAATTATTTTAAAAAATTTTGCTAACATTTCTCGGGAAGATAATTAAAGTTAGGAATTCCGTTAAAAACATTCATTGAGGGGAAAGGAAATAAGCTAAAAAAGAATACATTTTATATTGTTGTCAAACTAACAATACGTAGCAAATTATAACACTTTCTGAAACTCATTTTTTTTTTTTTTTAAGTAATGTTAGCAACACTATTTTTAACACTTTCTTTCTTGAGTATTTATTATTTCTAAAAAATTACTAAAAATCATAAATTTATGAGTTTTGCAATTCATTTAATAAATTTTTCTTTTAATTTAGTAAAAAAATTGTGATTTTTTATTAATAATAAAATATATTCAAAAAAGAGTGTTAAAAGAAAATGTAATCCACATTTTTTCTTATTACTTTGTCAACTACATCACCTGTTTTATCTCCTAACTTTTTCTCTTAGTTACCAATTCCTTACTCTTCCATCGATGAATACTGTAAAAAAGATTAGGCAAGAGTAACGTTATTCAAACTAATGTATTACTACACATGATATGAATATATGTATATATTACGCAAATAATAAAGACAACAACTAATAATCAAGATATAAGTATACAGATACAAAACATAGTAGTTATTGACTGGCTATCATTATCTACTCATAAAAACATGCATGAATAAGAATTATCAACTTCTGCAACGTAGGAGTTTTTTGTAATAAGAATTATCAACTTCTATGGAGCAAGACGCAAGAAATCAGAGGATCGTTCACCAGCAAGATTATTATCGAAAGCCACACCCGAACGCTGAACCTGTGATTTTTTCATGGATCTGTTCCAACCGTTATTCCTAACGAGACTCGGTGGCGTCAAAGGGAAACCCCACTGTACCTCACCACCAAACCTCTCATACTGCACACACCCTCTCCCACGTCCACTTCCCACGCTTCTCGTCCTATACCCCCGCGTGTCACTGCTCATTCTCGTAAAGCACACGCAACTCTTCGCACGCTTCAGCGTCGAGTTCATCATCTGGCTTCGTACCTCCTCGGGTAACCGTAGCGTAAACCTCTCATAGTTCTCCCCAGGCTGCACCAATTGACCCAACGAGTTCGACCGCGGAAACAAAAGCGAAGATAGAAACCCCGTTGATCTCGACAATGATGGACGGCTCTGATGCAACGAGCGAACCCTACGAAGCAAGTCCACCATTGGTGATTCCGCGTCACTCTCTCTCTTATGTTCTTCACTAATGTCATGTTCACTTTGATGTTCATGTTCGTGGTCACGTTCCTCATCATCGGGTATCTGAATGGACAACATCGGAGGCATGTTTATGTCTTCGGGTTGTGGAACGAGGTTGGCGCGACAAACCGGGCACGTGGAGTGGGAGGCTAACCAAACGTCGATGCAATCGGAGTGGTACACGTGGCAGCACTTGGGGATCATGCGGAGGGTTTCCTCGTCTTGGAACTCGTTCAAGCACACGGCGCATGCCAGCGTGTCGTTTCCGATTTTGAGACCCTTCACGTCGGAGTAGAGGAACGTGGGGAAGGTTTCTATGGTGGCTTGGTCGAGGCCGTTGGATTCGGCATTCGACGGGTTACCGCCTGCGCCGGTAGGAGCGGCGAGGTCGAGCCTGTTGCCACGTGTCTGCGATTGCCGGTCGGAGCATTTGCGAGAGTAGAGAGAGAGGACGGCTGAGATGAGGAACATGGCGGCGACGATTGCCATGATTGTG